ACTTCTGTAGTGATACTACCTTGGAAACCCCAGGAGAGATCGCTGTGAGTAGGATCCGATTCGATGGCAGTGAGTCTGGTTTTTCAGTAGCACTCGATCACCAAAATTGGTCAATTGGAAACCCAAGGAGGGATCGCTATGAGTCGGAATCAACTCAACAGCAGTGAGTTTGGTTTTTTCGTTTGTTTTTGGCCGGTTTCCTGGGAAAATGAGGAGCCTCTTTTGGGGGGCTTCCTCCATCCTTATTTATATGGATGTTTCTGTTCGTGTGACTCTCCCTCCACAATTCTCACAGTTCCTTAATTTCCATCACTGGAGAGCTCTCTCATCTCTTTACCAGTACTGATCTCTGGCTACCACATCAAACACCCTTTTCTCTTAACAATATTTCATCTTTCCCTCTTCACTTGTTCATTTTTTTTTTCCTCTGTCACATCCTTAAACATTGAGTTTCCCATTTTTCCCTGACTTTATTCCCTTTTTTATTTGTTTGTTTGTTTGTTTTGCTGTTTTATTAGTTGCCATTGAATTGACTCTAACTCATGGCAATATTCTGTGGAATAGAATGAAATGTTGCTTGGTCTCGTGCCTCTTCATGATTGTTGGTATATTTGAGTCTGTTGTTGAAGCTGTTGTGTCAGTCTGTCACACTGAGTACTCCTTCACTTTGTTGGCCTTCTGCAAAACATGATGTCCCTTTCTAGCCATTGGTTTTTCCTGATGATATGTCCAAAGTAAGTCAAAGTCTTGCCATTTTGTTTACAAGAAACATTCTAATAGTATTTGTTCTAAGACAGACTTGTTCATTCTCTTGCCGGTCCATGATATATTTAATATTCTTCACCAATATCACAACTGAAATGCAAGAATTCTTCTTCTATGTAAGTGTTGGTTGCCCTTAGATCTCCCATGATTTACTGCTCTAAGGAGTTTCACAACTCTCTGGTGTAATTGTTCACCACCTAAGCCTATCTACTACATAGGACCTTAAATGATGGAGCTTAAATTAACTAAGCACAGCCAGACTGAAGATAATAGGCTATATGAAAGGAACCTGGACTAGATCTTTTGAGACTGCAGGACTCCGGGAGACTATTGCTATGAGATACTCTATAAAGCTTGAACCAACACTACCCTCTGATGTCACCTTTTAGCCAAATAACAGATTGGCTCATAAAATAATGAATAGTACTGGAGAAGATTGTGCAGCTTTAAGAAATTATCTATATGAGAGTAAATGATTCACAATTAGCCTAAAGCAAAGATGAAAGGGTAAGGAGATAGAGAAACCAGATTGCTGGAAAAAAAAAAAAAAAAATCCAGAATGGAATAAATGAGAATGTTAACACATTGTGAAAAATATAACCAATGTCACTGAAAAGTTTGTGTAGTTGTTACTAGGTGCCATCAAGTTGGTTCCAACTCATAGTAACCCTATGTATAACAGAAAGAAATGTTGCTTGGCCCTGTGCCATACTCACAATAATCGCTATGTTTCACCCCATATTTGCAGTCACTGTGTCAATCTGTCTTGCTAAGGGTCTTCCTCTTTTTCACTGATCCTACTTTACCAAACACCATATCTTTCTCCAGGGATTGTTATTTCCTGATAACATGTCCTAATACACAACACAAAGTCTTGCGACCAATTTTGGTGATCGAGTGCTACCGAAAAACCAGACTCACTGCTATCAAATCGGATCCTACTCACAGCGACCCTCCTTGGGCTTCCAAGGTAGTATCACTACAGAAGTAGATTGCCCCATCTTCCTTCCGAGGAGTGACTGGTGGGTTTGAACCGCCAGCCTTCTGGTTAGCAGTCAAGTGCCTTAGGCACTACACAGAAATACCACCAATTGGTGGCTTTGACAAACCAGAGGTTATTCTCTTACAGTTTAGGAGGCTAGAAGTCTAATTTCAAAGTGCCACCTCTGGGGGCTGGATGAAAGCCTCTGGACTTTGAGCTTCAGCTCTGCATCTTGCTACCAGCCCACTGAAGCTAGAGACTTCTCTTAACTCAGGCAGCAGCTGACTGCTGTGACTGACAAACCCAAGGTCAACAAGTAAAACGGCACACTCCCAAATTATCAAGCAACATGGCAGGCCACTAGGTCAAGTCCAAAAAATCATCCCAAGATCAGCAGACAACATGGCAGGCTGCTGAATGAAGACTCAGCTATATGCAGGGTCCAAGTATGCCAAAATGCTCAGAGACTATTCCCAAAGCTGCTTTTTATATACTGAAAGCAGACCACATCTCTAAGACAGTTACTCAGCTGCTCACAGTAGATACCACCATGGAGTTGATTCTCATCATGGGGAATAGCTACATCCAGCTGCCCAGCCACTCAAAACTAGGCCCAGCCAAACTAATACACAAACTTAACTACCACACTACCCTTGCTTCTAAAGAACAGCCACCACCAATCTGTCAGTGGTTCATTCGTGTTGCTGAGATGCTGAACAACTTTCAGCAGAATGTCCAGACTAAAACAGACAATAAAGGCCTGGTAATCTACCAGAAAACCCTACAAATCACAATGGAATATTTTTCAATCTGCAAGTAATCATGAGTATGGTGCAGAATCAGGCAGGCAGCATTACATTCAGTTGTGCATGGGTTTGCCGTGTGTTGGGGCCAATTCAACGGTAGCTGACAACAACAACAAGGGGTTGTAGGCATCACTAAGCAGAACAAAGTCCTGCACTCCAACTCTATTCTTGCTACTTCCTCAGTGGCATTAAGCTATGAACCCTAACTGGGGATGTTGGGAAGTCCTAGGTATTGAGTTATTGGAAATATATTAACTAAGCCCAGACTAATGCACCAATTTTCTTTAACATGCAAGAATAATCTTGTATTATTTACGTAAGGGTAAACATTTAGGTGTCTATAGGCTACTTATATTTTTCATTTATGCTTTGTTTGTGTGTCAAACTCGTATGAACTAAAGGAGAAATTAATCTTCCTTACATTTATTGTGAGAAAACTTGGTTATGCTGATGTTACATGTATTTCCTGGTTATGAAATTCTTATACTATTGGATGTGTACAGAGTACACATGTGTACAATGGAGACAGAGACATTCCTTCTTTATTAGAGATGGAAATAACTTGTAGGCTGATGTCATTCCTAGTATAAATCAGCAAGAGGATAAGCAGACTTCTCTTGTTAAACATAGCTTCTTTTAATATATGCTACTGACTGATCAGAAGGAAGATTGGCCAATCTACTTCCGTAGTGATACTGCCTCAGAAACCCAAGGAGGGGTCACAGTGAGTCAGATCCGACTCGATCTGTGAGTTACTTTCTGATTATGTGTATGTTGTTAATATTTAAAAATTTAAAAAACTCCCAACCTTGGGTATGTTCAGAAGAAACAAGCAAGAAGAACTGAAACATAAGACCTGAAAGTAGAACATCATTTCCTTGGGGTATTTGTGTTAGTATCAGAAGAAACCATGAGAGCCGAGGTAGGAAATAAGAGAAAGTAAGACTCTAGGTTCTTGCAACACCCCTCCCTTCTAGACAACTCCTAACCTTCCAATCTTCAGCTGACATGGGCTTAGAGAGTCTTCATTTAAAAAAAAAAAAAAAAGGCTAAATAATAAGAAGGAGCTCTAGTGGTGCACTGGTTAAAGGTTTTGTCTTTTAATGAAAAATTCAGCAGTCCTAACCCACAACCCACTCTACAGGAGAAAGATGAGGCAGCCAGCTTCCATAAAGATTTAGAGTGTTGAAAAACCTAAGGGGCAATTATACGTTATCATAAAGGGTCATTGTGAGTTGGAATTGACTCAATGGCAATTGGGTGTTTTGGTTAAACAATATAGACAGAGAAGGGATACAGATGTTCACATAGATGTAGACATGGGTTTCTAATTCCTAAACAGTAGTCTCTGAGGAAGCAGTGAGTTACAAGATAAGGTAGAAGGATACATTTGTGACACATGGTATATGGGGGCTTCTGTAACTAGCGGAGGTGTACTTGTCAGGAATAATATTATGGGGATCCTCTTGTATCTGAGTTTGCATGAGAAAGAGAAAAACATACCAATATTCCCACAACCCATATGCTTTAATCTCCCCATGTTTCTTCCACTATGCTGGGCCTTGAGGTGGGGAGGTCAGAGATCATACCCTATTGTGGTTATTGTTCCTTTCTCTGTCTCATAACAGAAACATAAGTGCAGCATCTCTGCCTTAACTATCTGTCTATCCCAACTCCTTAGCAGAGTCTTGGCATACAGTTGGTATTAAATAATATTCTGTAAATTAATTAGTAAATAAATGATGTAAGCACATTCTTGTTGACATGAAATACATCTATTTGAAAATAAAGAGTAACATAATGTACAAAAATATGACAGAAAACATGTCTTTTTCAACATGAAGACGAACAAGTCAAAAGAAGAAGTAAAATAAACATAGGTTGACTCAGGTGAAGAATAGTTTCCAATAAGCACAGTTGTCTGACTTGGACCCTGTATCACTGGAAAACTATAAGCACCCCAATACAGGACTGTTAAGGCAGAAGTTGAACATGACCTGTCAGGGTGATGAGAGATTCCTGCACCAAATGTGTAACGTAGGTCCTCACTCAGGTCCTGAGTGGATAGTTAACCAAATTCCCAATATTGGGATAGAAATTCAGAGGCTCACAATCTTCTTTTAAATAAAAGAACTTGAAGTACCTTTGTGTATTTAGGTGAGGTCACTAGGAGGTTAGTGGGTCAAGCCAACATTCAGATAAGAGTGAGGATTCTGTAAGGACACAACAAAGGCACTAGTTTGAGTGCAGAGCCTACCAAGGGATATAGACCTGTGCTCCCTGGTCAGACCTGTGTATTGGTAAGTTTCTGAAAAGCATTAATGTTTTTTATTTTGCTGAGAAAGAACTAAACATGCAGACTCTGGGAGCTCTTCACTTATTAATCTGGATCCCAGTTCCAGCATTCAAATGGTCCCACACTTCTCTGCCCATCTTGTAGGCTCCATTTACACATCCTTTTTCAAAAATAATCCTATGACTCGCTCACGAATTTGCTTGGTCTTGACACCATAGATGATGGGGTTGGCCATGGGTGGGAAAAGCAGATAAAAAATGGCAAAAAGTATATGGACATGGGGGGCAGGCCGGTGGGCCACACGATGCATGATTGAAGAGAGAAAAGCAGGTGTGTAGAAGGCTAGAAGGGCACCTATGTGAGAGACACATGTCCCAAATGCTTTGTAGCGAGCCTCCCGAGAGGCAAGCTGTAGAACTGCCCGGAGAATAAAGATATAAGATAGGATAACAAACAACAGATCAAGAACAACAATAAACATGGCCAGAGCCATGCCATAGATATTATTAAAGCTAGTGTCTCCACAGGCCAGTCTTACCACAGCCATGTGCTCACAGTAACAATGGGCAATCACTGGGCCTCGGCAGTAGTGGAAGCGCTTGAGTGAAAGGAGGAGTGGAGTCATCAGTGTCACAGCCCGGGCCACAGCAGCCGTGCCAATCCTGGTGATTAGGGGCCTGGTCAGCACTGTGGTATAGTGCAGTGGTTTGCAGATGGCCACATAGCGATCAAAGGCCATGGCCAATAGCACTGCTGACTCCATGATGGAGAAGGAATGGAGAAAGAACAGCTGAACCAGGCAGGCATGGAAGTTGATCTCTCTATCCCTGAACCAGAATATGGCAAGCATTTTGGGCAGTGTCGTAGAGGAGAGGACCAGGTCAATGGTTGCCAACATGGCCAGAAAGAAGTACATGGGCTCATGGAGGGCTGCATCAGAGTGGATGACGAAGAGCAGGGTGCAGTTGCCCAAAAGGGCCAGTGTGTAGGCAAAACAGAAGGGAATGGAGATCCAGATGTGCAGGTGCTCCAAACCTGGCATCCCTACCAACAAGAAGACAGCTGGATGGGTTGAGGTGATATTGGAGGCTGACATTTCTCCAGGAAATCCTCCTTATTAATTTCCACAGAGACTCTTTGTTTTCTTTGTACACCTTTTAGGCACATAGATAAGCTCTGATAATGCACCTGGGAAGATTAGCTCTTTTTCACATTCCTAAAAACTCTGTATGAAAAAGCTGGAGTTCTCATACACATAAAGAAGCGTAATCCATGTTTCCTGCCCTCAAAGAACTTGTAGCCTCATTGAATAGATAGAATATTAAGTATTAGTAGAACTTATATCACAAGACAGTATTCTTAAAGGAATGAAGAAGAGGTAGTGTTTTCTTAGTGATATCAGGATTACCTTGATAAAAGAAGTAAAAATATGTTTACAACATTTCTTTCCAACATGCATTGGCACCATCCTATGTCCCAATCCAACCAAACTTCCAATCACAAAAGTCAATTTTCTGTTCTGAAATCTCAGACTTAGGTGCCTGTGTAAAACAGATAAGCCCTGCAGTTCTCGACACCCCAATTAATTAGATAATCTGCATATTTTCTCTAGAACTATGTTCTCTGATACTGTTCCCTCTAGCCACCTGTGCATAGTTAAATTTAAATGAGTATCTACTAAAATTTTCTCATTCACACAATACACTTCTTAAATGCTCAATTACCATAAGTGACTGGTGGCTACCATATTAGACAATGTAGGTATAGAGTATATTCATCATTGCAAAAAGTTATTTTGAAGAGCAGTGCTCTGGAATATATATCTTCCAGGTTCTTTCAACACCCACAAATCTCTCTAAATACAATCCTGCTGCCAGCTTACTGAGAAAATGAGGGGCCTCTATTTCTGGTTCTCCTTTATTAATCTTCTTCATCTTTCTATTTGTGTACTCTCCCTGCACACATCTCACAGCTCCTTAATTTCCATCATTGGAGACTCTCTCATCTCTTTAGCAATATTGATCTCTGGCTACCACATCAAATGCCCTTTTCTCTTAATAATATTTAATCTTTCCCTCTTCTCTTGTGCATTTTTTCTCCTCTTCTTTCAAATCCTTAAACTGAGTTTCCCAGTTTTTGCCCAGTCTCTATTCTTTTTTCTGTTGTTGTTGCTATTATTAGTTGCCATTGAATTGGCTCTAACTCATGACAACATTCTGTGTGATGAAACGTTGCTCAGTCCACATCATCTTCATGATTGTTGCTATATTTGAGTTCATTGTTGAAGCTATTGTGTCAATCCATCACACTGAGGATCTCCTGAGTTTTTGTTGATCCCCTGCAAAACACTGTGTCCTTTTCTAACTATTGGTTTTTCCTGATGTGTCCCAAGTAAGTCAAAGTCTTATCATTTTTTTACAAGACATATTCTAATTGTATCTATTCTAAGACAGATTTGTTCATTCTCTTCACAGTTCACAGTATATTTAATATTCCTCACCAACATCACAATTGAAATGTACTAATTCTTCTACATTCCTTTTCAACTATCCAACTTTTGCATGCATGGAAATCATTGAAGAGGTTAGGTTGCATTAGACACACACTAGTCATCAAACTGACACCATCTTCTCACATCTGCTACTGCTGCAAAAGCCACCTAACAGGGTTATAAAGTCAACCAATGATTCTCCAATATTTATTCCTTCCACAAATACCCACAATATTGAGAAATGAAGGGCCTTAAAATGAAGGGACCATTTACTTCTATATCCCCAGCTTCTACCATACAAATTAGGTATTGAACATTTCACCAAGTGAAGCATGAATTACCAAACTGGAAAATAAGCCTTATGACTTTTTACAGAAGACCCGCTCCATCTAATACAGGCTTAGACTGGTTTGTTATCTCCCAATTTAAAATGCATCCAAGATGGTAGTTCTGAGAACTCACATACACACACGTACATATAGCCTTGGTTACTTCCATCAGAATAAAATCTTCTTATTATTGGAAAGTATTTTTGCCAAGTCTTACTTATATTTGTGCATCTTTTCCAAGAATGAACAGTGGGATGTGTGGCAAACAAACCTTATGAGAGTAGGGACTTGTTTTTGTTTTTTACTACTCTGCCTCCAGTGTCTAGAAGAGTGCCTAATAGATAACAAGAGTTCTATACGTGACAGTTAAATGATCCCATATATATGTTGCAACTTTATCCTCTGTGTATATGCATTTTCCATAAATCCAAACATGTTTCACTTTGTCTCTGAGTCTACATGTCCCTTGACTTCCAACCCACTTGGCATGAGCATCATGGACCATCCTGTGACTTGTCAACCCATCCACACACAAAGAAAAAGTATCTGTTCCAAGTCTTCCCCCACAAGCAAAGATTGCCCATCACTCTGTGAGATTTATTTCCTTTGAAGTTCATGTAAAATCTTCTCCTCCCAAAATCAGGAGTGTGAAAAGCAATTCTTCCCCTAATTGCTATGACCCTAGAAATCTCTCTGAAGTAAATGTTTTTTTCCAGTGTTTAGGAGTTATTGACCTGAACACATAACCTATTTCCAGAGCCAACATGCCCATACATAACCACAGGATTTGTCTTCAATTTCTTCATCTCTCCTGAAAGTATTAAAATGGGACCCCAATGCAGAGAAAATACTCAGTCAATACTGGCAGCTAATGAGAATGTCCATATATATGATAGAGCTAACAGGGGGCAAAGTTCTGATAATTACTTAGCCACAACCAACAACCCAAAGGGAGCAAAATGTTTGGCCAGGGAGCTCAGGACCATAATGATGAGGGACATGGCATAACATACTAAACAAAAATCATGTTCTACATCCTACTTTGGTGACTAGCGTTCAGGGTCTTAAAGGCTTGCAAGCAGCACTCTAAGATGCAACAATTAGTTTTTCCCAGTCCAGAGCAAAGAAGAATGAAGAAAACCAAAGACACATGGAAACAATTAGTTCAAGGGACTCATGCACCATACAAATCTCAGCCAACATGACCCCAAGACCAGAAGAACTAGATGGTGCCCAGCTACCACTATCAACCATTTGGAAAGGGACTGGTGTAGGAGATCCCAGATAGAGTGGGAGAAAAATATAGAAAAAAACTCAAAATCAAAAAAAAAAAGAAAAAGAAAAAAGACCAGGTTTAATGGTCTGATAGACTGATGAAACCTCCCAGGTTATGGCCCCAAGTCAGCCTTCAGGGCTGAAATCACTCCTAAGGCTTCCAGCCAAACAATAGACAGGCATATGTGGTGAACATTTATACCAGGTAGGTACAGCCCTTAGAACAATCAACCATGGGAGATCATAAGGGCAGTATTTGCACAGGGAGATAGCTTGGAGGTCAGGAATATGTTGGAAAGAAGGGCATGAGGAAAAGGTAACCACAGGGAAGAAGCAGGAAAAGGGCTGTTACATTGTGGGGATTGAAATCGATGTCATGAAACAAAATGTATGTGAACTGTTTTATGGAAAATTAATTTGCTCTGTAAACTTGAACCCAAATCACAATTTAAAATTTTTTAAAAAATAAAATATTGGCAGCTGTTTGTTGATCCACACATTTATCCTAAAAGGATATGAAAATGATAACAAAACAAAAGCAAACTCACTGTCATGAAGGCAATTCCTACTCATAGCACCTCCCATAGGGTTACTAGGGCTATAAATCTTAAGGAAGCAGACTGCCTTATCTTTCATCTGCAGAGCAGCTGGTGAATTTGAACCACCAACCATCTGGTTAGCAGCCAAATACCGTAACCACGGCATCACCACAGATCTTTATGAAAATGATAGATTTGGAAATTTAATACCCAAATAAGGGAAGATGGTCACTCACCTAAGGTGCTTAAGGATATATCTTGTGGCAGAAGGACCTATAAGAAATGTATTTCCTACCTCACCCTGCCATCTTCCTACCTCACCCTGCCATCTTCCTACCTCATGCCTCATTGTCTCTTTCCTGACTACTGTAAACCAAAAAATCAAACTCACTGCCGTCAAGTCAGATCCAACTCATAGCGACCCCTCCTTCAGTTTTTTAGGCTGTATCTCTATGGAAGTAGATTGCCCAATCTTCCTTCCAAGGAGTGCCTGGTGGGTTTGAACTGCCAGACTTCTGGTTAGCAGTCAAATGCCTTAGGGACTGCACCACCAGATTGGGATGGGGCTTTTGGTGGGAGCTGGGAGGAGTAATGATAGGAAGTAACAAGTGACAGGATCCAAGCTGGGATAATCAGCTAAGACTTCTTGGAGATGGCTCACATTGTTTGGCATAGAAATGAGGCAAGCATCCTCTGTGATAGGAGGAAGGAATGAAGTTTGTAGATAAAGCATTTGGATAGGACTGGCAAGACCTCTCCCTCTATTGAAAAGCCAACATATAGGAAAGAAGGAAACTGCATTTGGTGATGAGAAGGGACTGATATCTAAGACCAGTATATGGCAGGAAATATAAGTGAGAGTGCCTTCTTAATTTCCACCTCACCACACCTGTCGTCTCTTTCCTGTTTTCCTGCAGTTCCAGCTCTGACCACAGTCCTTAGTCTGAAGTACAGTACTTGGCCCTTTCCACTGGCTTCATGCAACTCCACTGAAGCTTTCCACTTACAGTGAGAGAAGTTTGAGAAGGAGGGAGCTGCCAAGGGAGCAGCTGGCTTTATCTTCACAAATCTCTGCTCTTCTCCCAAAAGGACGTGGAGGCAGAAACTGGTGCACTTGAGAAAGCTCCTCAGGGGCATGATAGGCTCTGGGATCTTCTTTGGGATTTGAGTCAAGAAGAAGCAACTGTCCCAAGCCTCCTGTCCCCAGGGTTTTCGGTAGCCTGTGTCCTATCCCCACTTAGTGGCACTAAGTCATGCCTCCTAAGGCTCAAGCTTTGCTCTCAGGAGCTGTGAGCACTTCAGGCAGAGCCTGCTTGTGCCTTGGTCTTTGCTGTGCTTCCTCTTACCCCTACCCCCTTTCCTGCAGCCTAATTATAACATATAAACTGCAACTAACTGCTGTCTGACTGTGCTCTGAAAGGACAGGAGTTCCAGCCTAACCAGATAAAGATCATTTATTAAG